CTTTGAGAGCTCACCCACTCCCTCGCCTTCCGTCCTCTGGCTGCTGCCAGAGTAGAATCTGTCTGTTCTCAGCAGCCACTGTTACCACACTCCACACAACGTGTACATTATACACACACATGCACACGTGGAGTTCTGGATGCAGGCGTGAGGAGAGCCAAACCTAATGCACCCACATCCACGTAAGCACAGCATATCTCACACAGAGGCTTGGCTTCTGTCCCGCAGTATTTTTTCACATACGTACCTTGTTTTTGTATTGCGCTGTGTGCAGGCACTTGTGTGTGTGTGTGTACAAGGCTGGCGTGTGTTCCTACTTTTTGGCACAGAGGCGCTCTCCTCTCAGGTTGATCCATTGGTCCATAAAATAGTAGCAACAGCCATTTGAATTAGGGTGGAAATGGAAAAACAAGGCACAACAAGAGGGAATCTCTTTGTAACAGTGAAAACATCCCAGTCCCTCCATCCATCCAGCCAGCCGGAGGTTTTACAAGCTCCTTACTCCAAATTGCAGCAGTAAACTTGGCCTCTCTATCTCCCGCTGCACTCTGAGCACAGATGTGTGCTTTAGTCACTGGTTATGGTTTGAATACCTGACAAGTGGAGCGACTTATGGCGGTTTGAAAACACTTGCACACGAGCCAACCACCACATGTCAACGTAGACCGACAAGAAGAGAGAAAGTGATGCGACAGACAGACAGACAGACAGACAAAAGAAAAATGACAACATGACATCCAGTGGATGAAAACTGAGCCTTGAAACCCAGCAGGTTTTCAGCTCCTGGTCTATGAGTGACAGCGTGGACCGCTGCTGACTTTGGCTCCACAGTAGCTGGACCACAGACCTGAAGCTTTTCATCACCCAAACGTAACCATCAGTATCTGAGTGCGGGTTTAAAGAAAACCCTGGGCTAATGTTCATGGCGTCGCACTTTGTGAAGCTAACGATCATGTAGCGATCAGAGGCGTTCCAGTCCGCACCACACTGTGACATGTTTCAAAATAAAGCAGTTTCTATTTTGTTTCTGTTCCAGCTGTTTTTCTCAGTGGTTCTTGGGCTCTTTTTGATGTTCCATCTTGAAAAACAAAGTCAAGTGGGAGCCACACTGACAGGGAAGAGCAAGAGCAAAGAAACTATGAGTAATGGGTAAAAGAACGAGGAGCATGAAAATCTTTTCTAAGGCGGGCAGGTTATTCTGGGTGGTCTGCTCTGGACCAGCGTCAGTTTTTGACGTAGTTGAACAGTCATAAGAGTTACAGCTTCCTTTGACACTGCCTCTTGGGCATTTCAGCCACTTAGTACCGTGTTTATTTAGGAAGGCATCCTGTGTGGCATTCATATTTTGAACTTAATTGAAAGTGTTGCAAGTGGAAAGTAGCAGGAAGACTAAGGGACCGTGAAAACTGATATTCACAGGAGTTGAGCAAGAAGCCTTGGAAATGTGAGGCGAGTCTGGGAAACTCCATCAGTACCAGGTTTAATTGATGCCTCTAAACACAGTTGGTATTTATACGCTTCATATCATAATTTATATGCTTAATAAAACTTTATTTTACTGTGACGTTACTCATATTCTCTATGGCCTACGTTGTTTTAGGAGTAGACCTGCTGCAGGGTCCAGTGAGGAGACCGCTGTGTCCTCCACTGCAGCCCCCACCAGTTGGTCAACCAGTCCATCTGAGGTGGAATTAGGAGACCCAGAGGACATCCCGGGCCTGGAGGACGAGGAACTGCCTCACATGCTGCTCCCAGACAGCCTCAGCCAGCTGGAGGAGTTTGGACGACACAAACGCCCTCGCAAAGGTCATCGTGGCCACGGACGTCCCCGTCTTTTCAGCGACCTGTGGGTTCGGATTGGTGATGGGTGAGAGGCTTCTTAGAGCTGCAGTGATTTTTGGCAAGGCCGAAGTGCAAAAATAAAATTCCATATTGAAGAAACATTAGTTGGAAATTCCCAGCATTCTGTGAACAAGGAGAAGGAAATCACCAGAGCATTTCAGCACAAGCTGCTACTGAACATTGATATCAAGTACAAAAGAAGACACTGGAGTTCCATCTCAGTATAATATCAGCTGACCAATATTATCAGCTGATATTAGCTTAATTATGTAATATGTTGGGGATAAATGGCTGTATATGAAGCTGAAAGTCACTAGATGACAGCATTGCAGCTCAATCTTTGTAATAGTCAGGGGATTGTATGCAGAAAGGCCCCAGCAACTCATACAGTGGTTTGTACAGATAAATAAATAAATACTAACAGGTCTATATCGGTATCGATTGATAACGTAATCGGAATTGAAATGTTTGGACAATATCAGCATATCGGAAATTGACAGAAAGTTAATATAGGACATCCCTAATTCTTTTTTTTACTTTTTTCCAGCACTACACCAACACCAAATGTGAGGATAATCAACAACTACGTGACAGTGGAGCCCCCTCTGACCCATCAGGAGCAGCGCAGACTAGTGAAGACCTCCACAGAGCAACAGCCCAGTCCGTCCCCCAGACCCAGCTCTGCAGAGACGGTCTCCCGTCAAAGCAGCCTCACCCTGTCCTGCCTGTTGGCCTGGATTTTATCACACGTGTTGTTTACCTCCTGACCACAAGACAGTGCTATCTCACAGACAGAACTTCTACGCTGCCTGGTCCGTACCACAGCAGGGGAATGTACCTGGTACCGACTGACCATAATCACATGGAGAAATAAATAATCACGTCAGTCGGATCACACCGGCCAAGACTCAGTAAAACCTAAATGTCAAGTCTCAATATGTGTGTAATAAGCTCTCAGCCGCCATGTTGGACCTTATGGAAGTATTGCAGTAGATTGAAGGACACGTAGTACAACAAAGATCTGTGATAATTTATAGAGGATTCTCTCAGCTAATGAAGATGTGATACTGTACCAACATAGACGACTGACATTAACAATGAGAATAGAACATACTAAACCAGATGGGTCCAGGAGTACTGTGTAGAAGGTGACACACTCAGTCGACACTTTTGTATATTGTGCATTTTGTTCATAAAGAAATGTTGTATATTTATTATTTCTGGAAGAAAAGACTATATTTTCTCGCTTTTTGAAGAAATAAATTGGCAAAACTAATAACGTGTGGCATATGTATTTATTTATTAGGGGCAGTGGTGCCTTGGTGGTTAAGGATGGGGACTTGGGTCTGGGAGGTGTCAGGTTTGAGTCCACCAGCTGAACATGGCACCGTCCCCACACACTGCTCCCTGGGTGCTCTAAAAGCAGAGGTGAGGTCACATTTTGTTGTGTGTGCTGTGTCCATCCATCCATCTTCATCCGCTTGTCCGTTACCGGGTCGCAGGAGCAGCAGTCTCCATGACCACCACCCAAATCACACTGCACCGTACCAACTGGTACGGTGTCCACTCGAAGGTACCAACCCACCTAACCGGGATTCGAATCCTGGGGTTCCACACCAACGACAGAGACTTTGCCTCTGGGCCAAAGCACCACTGTGCTGTGTCATAATGACAAATAATACAAAAAAAAAATCTAACAAAAATGGCAACCTGATAAGAAGACACAGCAAAGCCCATTCCGTTGTTCCGATACAATAATTTTGGTTTGAAATATAAGCGCCTTAAAACGCAGTGGTTACAATCAATGTAATTCTGCCCTCTGCTGGTCAAACATAGAAAGACTTTCTTCTGAAAATATAATCTGAAAAAATCTAATTAAAAGACTAATGAAGCTGTGAACATACCAAGTGCGTAAACATTATTGTTAACATTATTGTGTTAAAATTATATTGACATAAATGTATTCAGGATACATGTAACATCTCAGCATGTGTTGTTTTTAATTGAGGATTTTTATATCCATCCATCCATCCATCCATTTTCATCCGCTTATCTGTTACCGGGTCGCGGGGGCGGCAGTCTCCATGACTGCCATCCACATCACAGTGCACCGTACCAACCCCCCTGAACCTTCCTGCGGGTGGTGAGTCCACTGAAAGGTATTAACCGCCCTAACCGGGATTCGAACTTGCCCAGGAGGTGAACCCTGGGGTTCCACACCAATGACAGAGACATTGCCTCTGGGCACATTTTTTATATCATATATTATTTTAATTACAAAAATAAAATGTAATTTAAAAAGTAGTTTGCATTGGAATCTTTGTTTTTTCGTCCAATTTTCAATGATTGAAGAGTAGCACTGCGCTGTTCCAGTGTTAACGCTAGGTAGCAGCAGAGTAGTACTGTCAGCAACAACGTTCTTCTTAACAGTACTCTGATTTTAAACGATCTTTTCAAATGACGTTGACTGAAGACAGAAATTGGAAAGTGCGTGTTATATTTGTTTTAAATATGTATACACTGAAAGCTACATTCAAAACCAAGTATTCAACTGTTTTATTTTATTTTCAATATTGATGTTTTTCATTAAACAAATATCATTACCTATAAAAACAAAACCTATAATCCTAATCCTAGTGAGAGGATGTTAAAAAGTGTATTCACGTTATTACAGATAACATCAGTATTTTTGTAGTAGTCAGTCAATTTGTTCTGCTTATGCAAGACAAAAAAAATCTAGATATGTTTTACATTTAATTGAAAACCCTTCTATTGCAGTTTTTTCTCCTTTACTGTAATCTTTACCTTTACATACAATTATTCTTGTTTTTTATTAGTATTTTTCATTTATTAATAATGAACAATATGCCAGACATTAATTAATTTAGTTAATTACATTTATCATCAATATTTAATGTTTTCTTTTTTGTAATTATGAATCTTGTATCTGTGGATCTTGGGAAAAAATATAGTCAACACAAGAACATTAATATTCAAGTATTAAATAAAATTTCAGTAATTAAAAAAGAAAAATAAAATAAAGAAAACTATTTAAATCATAATTGAGATGAGAAACATTTCAAAAACCTAAATAGACTTTGACCTAAATCACTGTTTGATTTTTAAATTCTAAACCTAAATGTCTAACCCGAATGAACAGAACTAACAATGAGGAGAATCTTTGAGCAGTCCTTTTCTTTCCAATCTTCTCTCAAACGACTGCCTTTTAGATGAGGTAAAAATGTGAAAAGCAAGTTTTTTAGAGCAAACAGCTGTTTTACCCCTTAAGCCGAGACAGGACAATATTTGCCTTTGCTAGAATACCATTTTCCCTGGGCTTTGGGGTGTTGTTTGAGTGAGTGGGGGTCTTGACAGGGCCCTCTGAGGTCTGACCCTCACTTTGCCAGGGACATGCCGCCAGCTGCATATAAATAAAAGATTACAGTGGAAAATCAATTTCTGAGCAAACTCATTAAAAATGCCCCTCACCTTAAATGTTTCCGATTTCCTTCCATTCAACCTGTTAACAGAGAGCTGTCCCTGAGACCCAGCACCCTGCCCCCACATCCACCCCCCTCCGACCATCGCTCCCTCCCTCCTCTCCTCTCCTCTCCTCCCTCCATCCTTCCTTTGCCCTGTTGCTCTCCCCTGGTGGTAATTACTTGCACAAGTCGTTTTTTGCCCTTTGATTTGCACCGTTTCACAAATGAAGGTTAAGTTTGTTTAACCGTGCTGGATTTGCTAGTCATGTTAGAGCATATAATGTGGCAGGGCCCGGGTTTCTCCACACAGCTCCAGCACCCCCGGCTAACTCCCCCACTCCCTCCATCTCCTTCCCGGTTGGTCTGTGTCTTCTACAAATGGGGGGAGAGGTGTTCCAAGGTTAAGGCCCATAGAGGCTGAGGAGGTGCACTGTGAATCAGGCGTCACACCTATTCACTCAACTGGAAGAGAACCAGGAGAGATGTTTAAATTCAGATGTCTAACTGCTCTAAGAGGATGTCGGGTTGATTCCTGTACATTTCAGTGAAGAAGAAGAGAGAGGAACCGCAGAGACACGAGTGATATTTCAAGCCGACTTAAAGTCTCTGAAAAATAACATGCCAGCATGACTATGCTTTGGTGCTGGAGGAGCAGAACGCCTTGATCCTCAGACAAATGTTGCAGTGTTTTCACATTTCACTGCTGCAGCCTCATCCTTGATCAATAACTCACACAGAGTGAAAGTCAGCAGAGCCAAGGTGAACATCGATCCGTGGCTCCTGGAGCTGCTGAGAGCATTTCAAGTGTGTGTTGCTGTGATTGTTGAGCTGCAGCTCACACACACACTCACACACACATTCACACAACAGGAGTTTGTTATCACACAGCAAACACATCCATTGACTTTAACATTAAAAGCAACTCATTGTTGTGATCCAGATCCATTGTAGCCACACATGTGTGCTCCAAAAATGCCACCTAAGGAGCAGCGGTTCTGTCTGCTTGTTGCTGAAGGATGTTTACAAAATATCTTTTTTTTTTAAACGCTGGATCTGTAATTATGTGTTGGAGGGAACGTCTGTCTACTCTAACCATGTCCTGTGTGGTGAACGCTTACCCATATTTCACAGAGAGCTTTGATTCTCCGTCTAGCCGAGGGCAGCCATAAAGCTTTGAGAAAACAAAAGTGTATTTAGTTCATCTCTCTTCAGATAATCCCACTGATAGTGGAGCCAGAGCGCGGCTGTTTGTGGAGCTTTGTTAACTCATCTGTGTTTGTGCTGGATGAGACATTAGTCTTTCCCCATTGTCTCCTTCCCCTTGAAGATGAGCGTCTCTCCGGCCTGTGGCCTTGAGGGGCTTCGACACAGGTCAGGTGCAAGTCTCAGGGTCTTAGCAGCCTCTGGTAAAAGTGTACCATTGCCCTGTTAGTTAGTTGCCCTTAGTTGAGACCAGGGTTTTGTTATAGTTTCATTCCTGGATGTGAGTGGAAATGAATTAAAATGTTTAATTCATTTCCACTTAAGACACTAAAAACATTTCACTTTGTTAATCATCGTAGCAGTGGGCTACAATTGTCACTGGCTTAAAACACCAGTGCATAGTAATGTGTAACCCAGAAACTAATAAAAAAACACATAAATGGATCCTAACATTTACATGGATATAGAGTAAAGTCAACTTAAAATCAGTGTAAAGTCAGAGTAAAGTCTCCACATTTGAACTTCTTTAGTTCAAATGGGTAAAATAAAAGTTTTACCAGGAATTTAAATGTCAAAGTTGTGATGAAGATGTTCATTGACACTGATATTTTTTGAATTGGTGTTGTAACAGGTTGCAGTTCTATAGTGAAGCAGTTATCTTGCCTGCCCTACACATCTGCCTGACTCACAGAAGGTCCTAGGTTCAAGTCCCAAATGAACCACATGCCTTCATTGTGGGCCCCATTGTGGGACAAATAATGTAATTTTTTTATTATTATTATTTTATAACTTTGAGTGACCACATGACACAAACTAATAAATCAATCAACCAACAATTCTGTATTTTCATTGTTTTACCTGTAGAGGGCCTTAGTTTGTAGTTTAGTTTTTTAAATTGCAATTTTATGAAGCACATAAAATTTTATTCTGGGGACAGGTTTCATGGCCAAAAAAAGTATTTTCTAACTTTGGGCTGATCAGTTGAAAATGGCCTCTGATTGAAACGTGCAGCAAAACAAACTGTGACAGAGTCAAACCACAGGGTGAGGAGAGTGTGTTTTCCTCCACAGTAGAATGGTGGGTTACCTCACAGGCCGACATACTTTCAGGATTATAATCCACTACTACAGATCCGTAGCTGTAGATTACACAGTCTGAAAGTTTACCTTGGAAAGAATAATGAAGGTGACCTTGGCTGCACTGTTCTCTGCCCTGTGGAAAAGGCAGAAGATTTGTTTTTTAAAAACCGAGGTGTGTACGAAGGAGAGTAAAGAAGCTACAAAGGAGACAGGAACACTGTGTGTGTGTGTGTGTGCGTTCACAGAAGGATGGCGGTAAGAGTGTTGTGTTTCACAGTTTTTTGCCACGATGCACTGCTTTATTATTCTGCACAAGGGGCACTTCACATGTGGAATGGGTTCTCTTTGATATCGACAGCAGCTTGAGGGAGAGAGTGCACTCAAAAACAGGCGCGGGCGAATTTATTCTGGGAAAAAAACAGATAGTTGTGTACTTCCCTGGCAGTGGTTGCCGCACATGCGAAGAGCCAACTGCTTTGATGCTCCAGCAGTGACACTCCATGTGCTAATGAAATATGGTAATTACAGGCACATAAAAGCCCTCCTAGACAGAGCTGGAGAAAGGGCATAAAAAACAAATATGACTTTATCCAAAGATACCCACTGTGATTAATTCTCCTTTTCATAAACATATATTTTATGTCGCTCACTCGCGACAAAGCAGTATGGGCCATCAGTTGAGTCAGGAACTGGCATCAGGCGGGAAAGGTCTGCTGATTAACAACAGCGCTCTTCTCTTTTCATGATAGGACCCAGACTGCTGAAGAACCCTGGAAACAGAACTCTAAAGAAAGAGTTCTTGGTGCAGCTCTTAGTTGGTTCCTGTTTTTCATCTAGCCTTAAAGAAATCACACTGTTACATCTCAGCTCTATTGGAAATCCCCAGTAAATAAAAACTAATGTTAGTTAAATGTTGCAGTTCGACAGTGAGTGTTGTGGTTAGTGCAGTAAGAGATGCAGTAAGAGTTGCAATAGTACAATTACACAACACTACAAAGGTGTACACGACAGTACCTTGTAAAACATTTCAGTAGAACAGCCAACCAAACGTTTAAACCTAGCGAATCGCAGGTCCCTCAGTTTGATGACCGTCGTCAAACTGTTGCGATGGCTGTTTAGTGACATAATATACGATCTAAAGTACCACGCACTTCAAAGGCTGTGACTTGTGCAAGTAATTACCACAAACAGGGAGAAAAAAGGTAATTACATACGCCGACGACTTAATGATTTATATTCCCAAACTCAAGAGAGCGATCACAATAGATGGACAGAAAAAGTTGTTGAGAGAATGAAATCTGCTCGACAGGTACTAAACACACATGGTATTTGGTACCAAGTATAATGAAGAAGTCAGGAGTATTTATTATAAGTATAGGGATAACAACACACAACGTGGATCCACCTGTATATGTTTATGTTATATATGTAATATATATGTGTTATATATAGAGAGAGAGTCGGTTCCATAGTGTAGCGGTTAGCACGCCTGCCTTTGAAGCAAATAGCAGAGTCCTGGGTTTGATTCCCACATGCTAGGTGCTTGCTAGGGGCGGCCTGTTAACAGCATATCTGCTGCTAACACAACAATTTCCCAAATATGGGATCAATATAGTACAGATTTATTTATAATTTACTAATATTGTATAAAATAACTATGTGTGTGTGTGTGTGTGTGTGGTGTAGACTGATACTAACGTCTGGAGGAGCCTCAGTGTTTGACCATCAGTGTTTGCTCACATCCAGACAAGGCAGCAGCCCCTCACCCTGTCACACACACACTTTCACCTTGATGACCCGCAGTCCCCAAGGGATGGCGCTAAAGGTCAGAGAGAAGGTGGAGGTCAAATGGCCCCTGATATGTCCTGTTAATAGGACAGTGAGAGTGTGTGTCTCAGGGACGTTTTTGGGGACTGGCCAGCTAAAAGGAGCTGGAGCACACATATGCGAACACACACACACACACACACGCCCACTGTCATGCCCAGTGAATACATACACACTCCTTAAGGTCAGAGTGCAGGGTGAGAATGTTAAATGGTGAAGCTGGGAACATCAAATATTTTCCTGCCCATCACTATTAGCAAATGGTCAAACCTTTACTTTATCTAAGAGTGTGTGTGTGTGTGTGTGTGTCAAGATTATAGGCTTGGCTGATGAAACTACTAAAACTTGGCTTTATAGTACACACACACACACACAGAGAAAGACACAGACACAGACAGAGAGTCAGACGGACAGACCTACAGACATGGAGGCAGACACAGAGATAGCCAGGGTGTGGGAGGGCGCCAGTAGTTGTGACCGTGCAGACGGGCAGATGGAGTTCTGGGCGCAGAGTCGCTGGACTCAGATAGAAAATCATTCCCACCCCGCAGCTCTAATTTGCAGAGCTTCTTTTATCGCCCTCCCTCAGGTGTCTCTAGGAAACTCCAAGGCCAGGCTGCTCTTAAAACCATGACAGTCAAGGTTACAGGTAATTGCAGAATGGTACTCTCGTAAAACCGCCTGTTTGCTTACAGCTGGACTCCGCCCCGCTTGTTTTAGATGCGTAACTTGGACAGACAGGAAGTGGAAGCTTATAGGATGAGACACATGGCGTGGTGTCTTTCTCTTGTCCTCCGTTTACTGCTTCCCCCGGTTTCCACTCCACACTACATTCTACCGTTCTCTTAGTTTTCCCTTCTAAGCCTTTAATTACTGTTAATTTTCTTTGTCGATTATCTTTTCTGCCTCTTTATCTGTACCTCCTCCCATTCACCAACCATAAGTCTTTGTCTTTATCAGTAACTCTGGCTCCCTCCCTCTTTTAATGTTTGATTCTCGGTGATAAGAGAAGACTAAAAGATGAGTCCGACTGCCTCGGTTGATGTGGTCAAAGGGCAGGGGCCGTGCTCGTGCCGGCTGCAGTCACGCGCTCCACGTAAAGAGCAGCCCGGGTTTCAGTACATGTCGTCTTAGCGGCATGCACGGGCCATAGGGAAGAAGACATATTGAAGCAATTGTCCATATCTGTGTGTGTAGACTCCATTATCTTACAATCTATCAAGATATCCATCAAGGGTTTGTATTTATCTGCTGTCACATGTACTTACCCTCCGAGGAGCGATAAGGTTCTATCTCTCTGCAAACAGGCCAATAACTGCACAAAACCTGGAGTATGTGGCGTCTACGTGTCCTTTTGTTCAAACAGAAACTTTGTATACTGTGTACAGGTAACCACACACACACACACGTATACACAGTGCAGTTTACTGTCAAACACGGTCACAGTTTATATCCTCAACTCTCAACAATCACCTGTTTGTTTCAAACCACAAACAAACAACACACTGCTCCACACGGTGGTCATTGACACAGACGACATCTGAACTGTCCTCTGGCTCTCAGCTCCTCACCCTCTTACCCTCTTACCCTCTTACCCTCACTCTTTAGTCATCCGCCCCTGTGTTTTCCTCTCTTCTTCCTTTCCTTTCCACTCTCTCCTCTCCCTTGTTCTCGTTGTTTGTCTGATTTTTTTTTTCTTCTTTCCTTGCCTGGCTGCAGCCATTATAAATTCATTGCATGCTGTCATGGCTGATTGAAGTGATGGGCCTATTCCTCTGAGCTTCCTGCTTGATGGAGGGTGCTATAGCAAATAGCCCAATGGGTCTGTTTAGATAACACTGACCTTTTGCAAACCACTGCCACGTCTGCTGCGAGAGAAGTGTGGGACCAAGCTTCATTTCTGAGAGAGAAAGGACGGAGATAAAAAGCATAGAAAATGTCAAAGCAAATAAGATGAAATAAAATCAACCCATGATGGATGTATTAAAGGAAAAAAATATAATGTGTTAAAAAAAAGACAGAAAAGAGAAGGGGAGAGCTCGGGAGGGCAGTGATTTGAAGCGTATTGTAAATCCCACCTGCCCTCTCCATGAATAAAAGTGTTGGTCGTCATCAGAGTGAATTGTGAGGGGTACAAGAGGTTGCTTCACTGCACTCCCCCCCCCCCCCCCCCCCCCCCCCGATCTGCATTATGCCCATGGGGTTACCAGGGTTACTAGTACAGTAAACTGAGGGCGAGGAGGGTGAGCGGGGCATGGAGAGGGCACTCACCCTTTTTCTTGGAAATGGATATTCAAGCCTTTGTTCGGCAGGGGTTACAATTACTGGGGAGGGGAGTAGAGTTAAATAGCCCACCTTCACCGCCGGCCGCAGGAACCGTGGCACTGACGGGGTTTGAACAGGCCGACAGATCAGCCTTCAGATACGTGTGTTTGTCGGTTGGTGTTGGTGAAATGTTAATATTGCATTCTATTCAATGATAATCTGATGGATTAGCCTGTTCACCTGTATATGTGTAGTCAATCAATGTACACATGTCACCTTCCTGCTACATATAGTCTGTTTTTGTTCTTCATGCACACGCATACACCCCGTGTTCAGTATGTTTCATCTTAAGTGCACGTTTATATGCACATCTGCAGCCCTATGTTTATGATCCACATCTGAACACATAGTCCATCTTTATGTCTCCACTGATAGTAATGATCCTTTGTGTTATGCAACACTTGCGCACACACAGAGCCTCTTTAAAAAGTTATGGGCGCGGGGCAATATCATCATCTTTAAAAGCTGCGGGCAATAAAACGCCAACGTCGCTCTCTTCTATGACAAAATAATTCAGTCAATGGAGGCCAAATGTAAGAGCGTTGAATGAAGAGAAGAAGTAAGAAGCAGAGGTGCACGCTCATGCAACATTCCTCGTCGTTGGGAGAGCAGCTGTCTTAAGATAATGTTGTTTTTAATTAAACTGCCTCCGGCGTGTGTGTGAGGGGGTGGAGGAGAAGAGCTACAGTACAGTATACATGTTAACTAGGCAGGATTTGTTTGTTTGTTTGTGTGTGTCTTCACAAGCAAGATTAATTTCGTTTTTTTAAAAATAAACATTTTATTTATATTGAACCTACACTATAAAAAACTATTATATATAACAAGCTTTTTTAAAAAAATGTATATTTAAAAAATATTTGAATGAGGGTTAAACGAGTTAAATTTTCTTCCACTAAGCAGGACTATTACATCATTTTGTTTGTTTTTTATATCAGAATTTTTAAATGTAAATTTTTTTTTTTTTTAAAACACAAGGAAGGGGTTGCGTAAAGCTCTTAACCGACAGTGCACGTTAAAACGGAAGCACGCTGAAATTTGTTTGAGCAGACTGTGTAAAAAAAAACTCATGGAATCTTTTATTTTGAATAAAAGACAAAGGAAGTGGCTACGCTAATGAACTCATGTCGCTTTACCAAACACGGAGTTTTTTGCAACACCACGTGAGAACGTGCACCGAGTTACTGTAAGAACAGAACACTACGGCTTCTTTGAGACAGGTACAACAATGTTTTGCCAATGTTTGTTCTATTTGGGCCAAATTCGGTTCAATTTGCGTGAGAAACTGTTCTTAATCAACGCTGCAGGTGTGTTTTACTTTAGCCTAGTTAGCTCGCCATCTGGATAAACGTAAGTATCTCAACAGTATTCTTAGCACCCGTTGTGTGTCATATCATGGGATTAAATAGAATTAAATCATGTATGTTGTATTAATGGAATTAATGAAGTGTTGACCCTGTCAATCAACACAAAGGCAGAGAACTGACGCTGGTAATGACAAAATATGAAGGCAACTGACGTATCGAACCGCTACACTGTTTGATAGGTCAGTTGCCTTCATTTTTTGTTCATTCTGGGTGGGCCCTTCAGATTAATTGTTGTTACTCTGTGTGCCCCCCATCAGGACATTCTCTGCCCCTGCCGCTGCAGTCTGTGGAGACCGGGGTGGAATCATTTCACTGAACCTTGGTGTTCATCCCATCCAGCGGTTTCATCCAATCGCCCCGTGGCCTCTGGTGGTTGACTGTGATGTGGAGCACGGCGGTCGTGAACTTCTACCTGAAAGGTGACAGGGGGCAGCAGATGATGAAAAAAAAGAGTTAGTGGGGAAAAATGAAATGACAAGTCCGTCGTCTGTCGATTCATATGGTAGAAAAAAACAAAATCCAAGTCACTGAGTGACACAGTAGCTGATAGTTTGACAGTTTGACGATCATGCACTTCACACTGCAGTCAGTAGGAGGAGGTATAGATGAAGACAGACCAGGGAGGCTGAAACTGAAAGTATCCAGTGGAATGAACCACAAAAAGGAAATATAGTTGGATAGATAGATGCTGTAGAAAGATACAAAGATCGATGTAGAAGTTTGCCGTTCAGGAAAACTGTTCTTTGTCATTCAGGATTTCCACTTGTCAACCTAAGACCCTTAACACCAGTTGTCCTGTTGGTCATCTCACTCCATAGAATGCAAATGTGTGGGTCTACAGGGCCGGGTGCAGAAAAGCCATTGATTTGAGATGAATACAGTGGCTGCTCCCAGCCTCTTCACAGTTATTAGGACTAATAGAGAAACCTAAAACTGTGTGTGTGTGTGTTTGAGTGAGAGAGAGAGAGAGGCATAGATCCACACAAATGCTCTAAATAGCTGGCTACTCCACAGACCTCTCGGAGAGTTTGGCTTGCAATTTGCATTCCTTTGTGTGACAACTTGTAATCCTCCCCTCAGCATGCCAAGAAACACACAACAGATTTATTGTCCCAGTCAACTAATCGTTTAGGTCATCCCAAACCTATTACTGCCTAATGCAGTGTAGCTCCCCCAGCCTCATGTAACGCCTCGTCTCGACCGCTGGAGGCTCGCAAACACAAACTCTCTGCAGCCGGGGGCCCCACTGAGCTGGATTGCTTGGTTGGCCCCGTTCTATTCAGACGTTCTTCTGGAGCGCTGCACCTTCACTGAGCTGCTTCAGAGAATGGGAGGCACAGAAACCATGGCTGAGGTTCAGACAGTTTGGTGTCAGGAGAGCTGAGCTAAATGGACATGAGGTTTTTAACCGCTGCAGGCCCACACAAGCTGCCCTGAGAATTCACACATTTGGAAGTGCAAGTTTTTAGAAAAACACATGTTTATCGCTAAAGAATGAACTCAAATCAGCAGCTGTGTGTCACATCTTACCCAATTGGGATTTGGATTTTTTTTTTAAATACCAAACAGAAAGTGTTCTTGTAATTTATAAATATAATCACCCATATTGAAATAGGAATCGCACAAAAGAAGTTAGCATTGAATCCAATTTTGCAGGTTTATAAAACATGTGTGAGGTATCAGATAGTGTCACTAATTGGTGTTTGTCTCCGGGAGGTTGCTTTATTTAACTTATCTTTTGTTCACAGGACAATTTCCATTTCCAAACGTGGGCAGCGTCTCAACTAAATCATTACATGTCACATTGTTTTTGGACAATATGACCTAAGCATGACAGTGTTCTGGTCCTGTTATTATCTTTGATGGGGCAAAACCACATCCTCACGTGTGTGCAGCAAAAACCATAACAACACTGTATTTATGCCTGTCTGGGACAGGCGTGGACTCACCGACAGCTGTGTGATGTGGGACAGACAGAGAAACGTCTTGAATTTGTCATCCTGTCTTTGTCTAGGTAGGTAGGTAGACAGACAGGTAGACAGATAAGGTTTAGATTTTACAGGCCTCCTGGCTGGCTGGTTGATGTTAGCCAGTCCTATCATTGAACAATTATAATAACGGGGAATTTAAAATGTTGATAAAATTCTAAACACGGTGGATATTTTCCTTCAAAATAAAATAAAAAATAAAAAAATACAATTTTTGTTTTTATTTATTTCTCGGGTTTTATATCACCTAAAATTACTGTGAAAACACAGTACGTGTGTATCATCATCATCATCATAATGTCTTCAATTTAATTACTGCATCTTAAAATAGCAATCACATTTATCAGATTAGCAACTGCTCTGTTGAAGCTCATGTGTTTTCAAGCCACATGTGTGTTATTTCACCTCCTTGTTTCTGCTTTAAACTTCTCGCTGTTGATGGATAATATCATTGAGCCTCTGTAGAAGTTGTTTATATAACGATGTAATGTATGTTTTATATTTACTACATCTGAATATATAGAAGGACAGATGGGCTCTGGGATAAATATGGTTTGGAACTTGGACAACTGCTTTAAATTGAACCTAAGTGAATGGAAATGAACTGAAGTGGGAGTAAAAGAGAGATAATGGAACAGTGAGGGGAGCGTCAGAGAGAGAGAGGGAGAGAGAGGGAGATCAGAGCCCATCTGTGTGTCTCGGCCTCACACCGCAGGACTCAAACGCGGGGTCAGAGCACAGAGAAAGGGAGAAAAGCGGTCCCCCCCCCCCCCCCCCCCCCCACGAGTCATCTTCCCACAAACTCAACATGCCTTTTATTCGTTTGTTTGGACACACACATTCACGTCTAATTGTTGTTTTTCTTTTTTAGTGTGCCCCACAAGGCGCACATGCATCATGCAGGACAAGCAGCGCATATGGCGTGGGTACTATTCAGAAACCACACTAAACAGTTGTGCGCCCGGCCAGCGCTTCCTTTTGCATGCAGGCTCGGGCTGTGGCCCCGGAGAGCCTCGCTGCTCCGAGTGCACATCAACACGGGCCTAATTATAACGGAAGTCAGTGTCCGTTTTAGCATCACAGAAGAAGGACGCAGAGACACACGCAGTTCCCACACTGGACCAGGACTCTGGTTGTTTTGTGTGGACGCTACAGTGTCAGTGAGCTTAAGAAATACTGAGTTTAAAGGAAATTATATTTTTAGGTTTGGAAATTAGCAGACGAAGAGAGATAGAATAAAAGAAAATGTGGGGAAAAAAAACAATGTGCAACAATCATCATATTAGAGATGGGACTGTGGTCTATTTTATAATCAGGGTCATATCTGTGATGTTTATTGATATTACTCTAAAGGGCGGCGTAGAATGAGATTATTTCGTTATTTTATTTTGTAAATATGTAGGATAAATGCATGTATTGTTTTAATCAGCAGCATAATTGTACAAAAATAAATGATAAGGATTATATTTTAAACGCATTATTATTATTATTATATTTAATCAAAATTTATGCCATTATTATAGTCATTTTAAATTACATACTAGTAATAGAAATAGTGACCGTAATTTTAATCACAATATTCGTCACATGATTTTTTTTTTTTTTTTTTTTTTTTTTGTTAACCCTTAAGTCGTTTCTACTTTACATCTAACTCCGTCACTTGAACGCAGCAGCAGCAGCAGCAGCTGCAGCTCGTTCTTCTGATCCACTACCGACACGGAGGAAGTGAGGGAGTGTGTGAGGTGAATTACAGCTGTCAGACTCCGGGAGCCTCTAATTGTGTTCTGCTGCACACGGTCCGTCCCAGCTTCAGTCGTTCACTTAGGATTTCTCCTCCAAACACAAAGGCAGCACATGTGAGGGAGGCTGAACATTTAGCAGCAGTTTCCAGGGTCCAGCAGAGGCCAGGCTTCTCCTCTGTCTCTGCACCAATTTACCTGCCATTCACGACCGCGTCTGCAGGTGAACGGAGGGGTTAAGAAAACGATCACCCTGCACATATTAGCCACAGTCAATATCGTGTGTGAGGATGAATATGTGGCAAATACAGTCAATGACAGAAATCCTCCTGTAATCGAAGAAATAAGCAAATATCGACTATACGATTGATAATGAAAATATATGTTCCTAAAAAGAATGAAAGTACATAGAAAATACTAAATACAGGTAAATACATGTAAAAATCTGACCAGGATAGTCCAGACTATATTATAAATATTATGACTGTAATTATAATAATTATAATATAGTCCAGACTATATTATAATTATTATGACTGTAATTATTATTGTTGTTATTGCTACTGTTACTACTGCTGCCACAACGAATAATAATAATAATGATAATATTTTTATTATTATCAATATTATTATTATAGGCTTTGGTTGCTAAATATTTTTTTCTACAATTGCTTTTAATACTTTACTATTTTTAAACCGACTTTTTAGCATCTCTATCCTTTACATATATTTGTTTATATTTATTTAACTATATATGTTATGTTATGTGTTTTTCATCGTTAATTATTTGGTCCAAATATATTTTCTGTCGTCAAGGCCAATAATGTCAACAAAGTATATTTAGCCTCTTTACCCAGAAATAACCGTAGCATCTTTAAGAAAATACCACACAATTGACTAGAATATTTTAATGTGACGTTGGTGTCGTTGATCAACACTTCTTTGTGACATAATCTTCACAGTGTGACCTATTGATATATTTCACCATGTATTATTAACATATCTGACTTTGGTTTCACTCACGTTTATGCATTTCATAAATAAAGCCATAATTGTTTTTTGACTCTAAACCAGAGCCGTTTTAATAAAGACAAATACTATCAGTATTTTAGGCGTAGATCGTTCATATCATCTGAAGTCTTCTGGAGGTGGAGACGAGCGGCGTCTTCATCTGGATGGAGAGGTGTTCTCCCTCGGGCCACGTGTGAAGCCACGGATGACCTCAGTTTTCCGTCTGAATACGTTCGTCTGTCCTCACGGCTCTGCGCACACATGCCCTTAGTTAGGTCGTCTCCTTTTGTCCGACTTCCCACAGATTCCCCGGGTAACTCAATCTGTCCACAATCAATAGGCTGCCCACAGACTATTGAATAAATACATGATTCAATTATTTGGAAATCTCCGCTGCAGCAGTGGAATCTCTTTATCCCCGATCATAGGATAAAGTCGAGAAGGATCAACGCTAGATTTGGCAAAGACGAGCCTAATTATAACGGAAGTCAGTGTCCGTTTTAGCATCACAGAAGAAGGACGCAGAGACACACGCAGTTCCCACACTGGACCAGGACTCTGGTTGTTTTGTGTGGACGCTACAGTGTCAGTGAGCTTAAGAAATACTGAGTTTAAAGGAAATTATATTTTTAGGTTTGGAAATTAGCAGACGAAGAGAGATAGAATAAAAGAAAATGTGGGGAAAAAAAACAATGTGCAACAATCATCATATTAGAGATGGGACTGTGGTCTATTTTATAATCAGGGTCATATCTGTGATGTTTATTGATATTACTCTAAAGGGCGGCGTAGAATGAGATTATTTCGTTATTTTATTTTGTAAATATGTAGGATAAATGCATGTATTGTTTTAATCAGCAGCATAATTGTACAAAAATAAATGATAAGGATTATATTTTAAACGCATTATTATTATTATTATATTTAATCAAAATTTATGCCATTATTATAGTCATTTTAAATTACATACTAGTAATAGAAATAGTGACCGTAATTTTAATCACAATATTCTGAACATGATTTTTTTTTTTTTTTTTTTTTTTTTGTTAACCCTTAAGTCGTTTCTACTTTACATCTAACTCCGTCACTTGAACGCAGCAGCAGCAGCAGCAGCTGCAGCTCGTTCTTCTGATCCACTACCGACACGGAGGAAGTGAGGGAGTGTGTGAGGTGAATTACAGCTGTCAGACTCCGGGAGCCTCTAATTGTGTTCTGCTGCACACGGTCCGTCCCAGCTTCAGTCGTTCACTTAGGATTTCTCCTCCAAACACAAAGGCAGCACATGTGAGGGAGGCTGAACATTTAGCAGCAGTTTCCAGGGTCCAGCAGAGGCCAGGCTTCTCCTCTGTCTCTGCACCAATTTACCTGCCATTCACGACCGCGTCTGCAGGTGAACGGAGGGGTTAAGAAAACGATCACCCTGCACATATTAGCCACAGTCAATATCGTGTGTGAGGATGAATATGTGGCAAATACAGTCAATGACAGAAATCCTCCTGTAATCGAAGAAATAAGCAAATATCGACTATACGATTGATAATGAAAATATATGTTCCTAAAAAGAATGAAAGTACATAGAAAATACTAAATACAGGTAAATACATGTAAAAATCTGACCAGGATAGTCCAGACTATATTATAAATATTATGACTGTAATTATAATAATTATAATATAGTCCAGACTATATTATAATTATTATGACTGTAATTATTATTGTTGTTATTGCTACTGTTACTACTGCTGCCACAACGAATAATAATAATAATGATAATATTTTTATTATTATCAATATTATTATTATAGGCTTTGGTTGCTAAATATTTTTTTCTACAATTGCTTTTAATACTTTACTATTTTTAAACCGACTTTTTAGCATCTCTATCCTTTACATATATTTGTTTATATTTATTTAACTATATATGTTATGTTATGTGTTTTTCATCGTTAATTATTTGGTCCAAATATATTTTCTGTCGTCAAGGCCAATAATGTCAACAAAGTATATTTAGCCTCTTTACCCAGAAATAACCGTAGCATCTTTAAGAAAATACCACACAATTGACTAGAATATTTTAATGTGACGTTGGTGTCGTTGATCAACACTTCTTTGTGACATAATCTTCACAGTGTGACCTATTGATATATTTCACCATGTATTATTAACATATCTGACTTTGGTTTCACTCACGTTTATGCATTTCATAAATAAAGCCATAATTGTTTTTTGACTCTAAACCAGAGCCGTTTTAATAAAGACAAATACTATCAGTATTTTAGGCGTAGATCGTTCATATCATCTGAAGTCTTCTGGAGGTGGAGACGAGCGGCGTCTTCATCTGGATGGAGAGGTGTTCTCCCTCGGGCCACGTGTGAAGCCACGGATGACCTCAGTTTTCCGTCTGAATACGTTCGTCTGTCCTCACGGCTCTGCGCACACATGCCCTTA